TATGTAATTGTATTTTTATTTATTGTTTTAATGAGTTGTAAGCTGCCCAGAGTCCCCCATTAGAGGAAGATGGGTGGGGATAAAATAAATAAATAAATAAAGTTATGAACATGCTGAAAAAAGTGAGTTATGACCAGTGCCAGAAGTTATAGTCGTTGCTGCGCCCCTACCATCACATGATCAAAATTCGACCACTTGGGCAGCTCACCTGCACTTACGACTTCAGGGGTACTTCAACTCCCCCACCCACCTATCTCCCTCCATCTATGCCCTCTTGGCTCCCTGCCTCCCTGTACTCTGCCACCTCAGCTGACCTTCGCTGTCTTCTTGCTCCAAAAAGCCCCTTGGAAAAAGCTCTTGGAGTGCAGCATACCAAAATGCCCCTTTGCAAAAAGCTCCTGGATGGGACTGGGCTGGGCTTTTGGTTTGTGCTGTGGGGGGAAAAATGGCCAAATGCCCAGCCCAGCCCCACCTAGCCCCGTCCAGGAGCTTTTCGCAAAGGGGCGTTTTGGCACACTGCACTCCAGGAGGTTTTTCCAAAGGGGCTTTTGGAGCAAGAAGATGGTGAGGGTCAGCTGGGTCAGCAAAGCACAGGGTGGTAGGGGTCTCAGAGTGCAGGGTGGTAAGGGCGGTTGCAGCTGGGACAGGGCTGGGGCAGCTGCAGCTTCCCAGGGTGTGGCAAGCAGCCCCAGAACTGCGGGGTTCTGGAGCTGCTTGCCACCCCACAAGGCAGGGTGTAGGGCAACCAGAAGAGCAGAAATGGGGGGGAGATAGGCAAGTGGGGAGAGTTGGAGGCAGTCCCTTACCTTACTGAGGCTTGGGGCTGGGAGGGACCAAACTTGGAATGGCTTGGATTGGGGAGAGTACTCGCTTAACAACCCATGACTCTTGATTACCAATGGCAACTGGGACTGCTGGGATTGCAGTCGCTAAGTGATGCAGTCACATGACTTCTTGCTTTACGACAGTATTACTTAGCGACAGAAATCCTGATTGTGGTCATAAGTCGAGGACTACCTGTAATAACCATTATAAGAGAGACAGTTCCATCTGCTCCAAAACCTAATGTTCCAGAAGGATACTTACTATGACATAAAATGTTTAAACCATTATTTCATACAAGTACATGTATTCTATTTTAATCCATCTTTTAACTAATTCACAAAAATTATAGAATTGGCTATCTAATAAGCAATTCTAACAACCTCTTGTTTAAGAAAATTAGTTCTACAATATTTATCATTGTCTGTTATATTTCATTCTGTGAAAATATAGACTGTTCATCCCTAACAAATTTTCCTGCTGTTAGTATACTCAGAATTGTATATTCAGAATTATTTTAAATGAAAGCTCAAGATGGTCAGATCCTCAGATGTACCTATCTACAGTGGTACCTCGGGTTACGAACGCCTCTGTTAACGAACTTTTCGGGTTACGACCAGCTCCAGCCGCAAAAATTTACCTCAGTTTGTGAACTCCGCCTCGGGGTACGAACAGGATACACGGCCATTTGCCCTCCCGTGACACGGTCCGCGGCCATTTTTCCGCCCCTGACATGTGGTCCGTGGCCATTTTCCGCCCCTGACAT